CCCGGCTGTAGGAGGGTGGCTTTATCCCAAGCTCTCCCAAGTGGCAGACTGGAGGGGGGCAGAATCGATCAGGGGATGACCTGGCTTGTCTGAGTGGGCTGAGGGATTGGGGCGGTGGGTGGGCAGAGTTGGTACTTACAAGTAGGAGCCCTCTTGAAAGCTGAGGCAGGGGAATAAGGTTGGAAGCACCTCCATCAGCCTCTAAATAAACCATCAAGAAGCAAACATTTCTGTGCAGCTTGCCTAATTGGCCTTCCTTTCTCCAGCCTGGCTCTAAGCCGTCTTGCACAGCACACTCTAATGCATTTTCTTAAAGCAGCATGTGCATTGCGCAGGAACCCTCAGTGGTTAGTGGTGATGATTGCAGCCCCACGGCTGCCATCACAACTCATTGACCTCTTACTGCGTGCCAAGCACTGTGCAAAATGCTGTGCTTGCCAAGTCTGGGGAGCCCTGGGCAAGTCACCACACCTTTCAATCCCTCGGTTTCCTCATCTGTAAAATGGGGATAATAAGTAGTACATAGTTCATAGGAATGTTAGGAGGATTAAATGAGTGAATGCCTGGTAAATCCCTGAAAACAGCGCCTGGCATGAATAAATGCTCAATAAATGTTAACTCTCACTCATTAAATATTTATTGAGCACCTTCTATATGCCAAGTACCACATATGCCCTGGGATATGATGGTGAGCAAAATTCCCTCATGTTGCTTGCAGCTAAGCGTGAGAGAGATGCAGTTGAGCATGCAATTACAATACAGTGGTTTAGATGCTGTGATGAGGAAGACTTGGGAGGGCAGGAGATTTGTGTATTTCTCTTCGGTCTCTCTCTGCTGTTAGAATGTTAAGTTCAACGAGAGCGGGCATGCTGTCTCCTGTGCTCACAGTCGTATCCCCAGTGCTGAGGAAATACCTGGCTCTCAGAAAACATTTGCTGGGTGAATGAACAAGGGAAGGAAGGAAGGAAGTGCTATATTAGCTGGACCTGGATGATGAGGCATTAATGATGTTGGGGGGTGGAGAGAAAAGGGAGAGTAACTTGGCGCATCCCAGTTTTGGAGCCAGGCAGCCCCCAGGGGAAATCCCAGCTCTGCAGGGGGCCAGCTGGTTGACCTTGGAGAAGGTCATACTCTCTAGTCTGAGTCTGTTTCGTCATCCCTGAACTGGGAAGGCATAACGTCTCCACGTGGCATGTCATAAGGACTGGAGAAAGTGCACGTGGGACATCCAGCATACCCTTGGCGTGTGGGCAGCTCAGGGTAGATGTGTTTTCTTTTCCCTTCCCATTCTTTGTGCTACTTGGCATCTCCTGTTGTTGAAGAGATGTGCTGAGATGGAGAAGGGGCCTGATACCATCTGGTCAGAAATGTTTGGATCCTCCACCCTGAGATTCCCCAAGGAGATATATGCATGGAGGAAAGTGCAAAGCCAGCAAAGAGGCAATTTATTATCAGTTGGGGTTTTGCTGGAAGCCTCAAGGTAGAGCTCATGAGGTCTCAGGGGCTCCTTTTCTCTATACTGGGTAGGCCTAAGGAAATTTAAAACCTAATCAAAACTAATTCTCGGCTCCTTTGAGGTCAACATGTCAGGGAACCCAGAAGGAAGCACAAGCATCAAGAGGAGAGAGAGAGCTTGCCCCAGGGCTTGGAGTGGAGCTGGCCCAGGCCACTCATGCCCAATGGTCTTAGGGGACTACGGTCACCATGGGACCTGGACCCTGCAGCCTCCTGGGAGAAGAGAGAGAGTTGGGCGAGGAAGAGAAAGATGGCGGGGATAACTTTTAACACCTGTGCAAGCTCCACCCACTGAGGCCAGGCCAATCAGCATCTTGGAATCTGACTAACCAGATCAGCTCTCCTCCTCCTTAGAGGCTGAGTAGGAGAGTGAGAGAAGCCTTGAGCGCCCCCTACAGGCTAATACTAGTCATGAACAGGTGTTTCTTTTTAGGTGGGTTTGAGGCACTCATTTCTCAAGTTTAAGGTGAATTCTCAAAGGGCAGGCACATGGGAAGCGTTTCATGGCACGGAGCACTGGGACTCTTTCCAGGAACTGGGTGTATTTCTTAGTCTCATTGCCCAGGGATGGAGACATGGCCGGTTAAGCCGTCAACTGATAGCCTTTAATTTTTGTTTTGTGATTTCCAAGCCCTGCTGTTGTTACTGGGGTAGCATCTCAGTCCTCGAGTGGCACAGGTGGCTGCTGGGGCCCTTCTGCCTCCTGAGAGCCCTGCAGGGTCCCACTGGCCAGAGCAGAGCTGACTCAGCCTCTCAAACTTGGCCCTCCAGAGCTGTGCAAGGGCCAACACTTCATCTGCCTGACCATAGAGGCTTGGAATGTCATGAAAGAAGCCTTGTAGCTCATTGAGAAGACGCAGGCCAACAATAGCCTTCAGTGACTGAGGATTTTTTAGGCAGGCTTATTGAGATAGACTTTTCATGCAGCAAAATTCACTTTTTTTACATACAATAAACTTCACCACAGTTGATATATAGAGCATTCCAATCATCCCCAAAAAAGTTCCCGCATGCAGCCCCTTTGTCATCAATCTCCTTTCCATCCCAACCTCTCTCCACCGATCTGTTTTCTGCCCCCATAGTTTTGCCTGTTCGAGAACGTCATTTAAGTGGAATCAAACAGCGTGTGTTGTATCTTTCTGTTAGCATAATGCTTTTGAGATTCGTGTGTGTTGTTCCCTGTAGCAGTAGTTCATTCCTTCTTACTGCTGAGAAGTGTTCCATTGTGTGGCTGTACCATTCACACATTCAAGGACATTTTGGTTGTTTCCAGCTTTTGGCTTTTGTAAGTAAAGTAGCTATAAACTTTCATGTACAGGTTTTTGTACAGATAAATGTTTTCACTTCACACCTAGGAGTGGGAATGCTGGCTCATATACAATAAGGGTATGGGTAACTTGATAGGAAACTGCCAAACTGTCTTCCAAAGTGGCTTTACCATTTTGCATCCCCCCAGCATCATAGGAGAGCTGTGTTCTCTCCTCATCAGCATTGGTATTGTCAGTTTCAATTTTCTAAAATTTTAGCCATTCTAGTAGGTATAAGGATTGTTTTTAAAGTTTGAAAATAACAGTTTCCTAAGGAGAAATGTTCATGACTTTAATAGCACATAAAATAATATCTATTTACTGTGTCTGTTTATTTGCTTACTTGGTCATTTTCTGTGTCTGTCAGAAGAACATACCTACATCAATAAACACATGTGAGTAGATGAATGAAGGCAGGAAGGAAGGAGGGAAGAGATGAGTAGCATATAGTGAAGGCTAGGGGGTCAGATGAGCCCTGGGTTGGAACTGAAGACCCATGCTCTTAATGTCTGCAGTATCCTATTTCACAGAGAAAGCAGCTTTCAGGCTGGTTGGGGAAAGAGAAGAAGGAATTTTGCAGTTAGAGCAGTGATGGAAAAGCAGTTCTTGAAGGAGAAAGACGATGTGCAGAGCCCGAGGGTCAGGAAGGGTAGGGCATGTCTGGGAGTATGAACGAGTCTTGTGTGCTGAGAACGTAGTGTGTGCTTGGGGCCATAGCTGGGATGACCTGGGTGTGTAGTAATAATAACGGAAGAGCTTATACTGCTTACGATGTGCCCTGTGGTTCTAAGATCTCCACATAGGTTAATTCATGTATTCTTCCGAATGGTCCTATAAGCTTAGAGCACTATCATTATCTCCACTTTACAGACAAGGACACTGAAGCACAAAGAGATGAAGTAACTTGCTCAAAGTCATACAGCTAAGAACCCAGGCAGTTCATGCTCCCAAGTCTACCTTTAATCACTGCACTACACTGCCAGGTTAGGAAGGGCATGTTTGTTAGTTAGGGTACCGTGTAAGCTGCTGTAACAAATAGCCCCCCAAATATAGTGACTTAAACAAGACAGAAGGTAGGTTTTCTCTCAGGTGTCTGTGCAAAGGGACAAAGTCCAAGGCTGGTGGGGTGGTTTTATCCTTTCGACACATGGCTCCAAGTTTGGGTCCAAGGTGGTTGCTTCCAGTTCTCACCACCTTCTAGCCAGTGGGAAGGGGGAAAGGGGCCAGGGAGGCTTGTACACATTCCTTTTAAGGGAATGGCCCTGATACACACACGTCCCATTGGCCAGAACTCAGTCACATGGCCAGACTAAGCTGCAAGGGAGGCTGGGAAATGTGGTCTCTAATTGGGCAGCCATGCTTTTTGCTAAAACTCAAGGATTCTGTTATTAAAGGGAAGAATGGATATTGGTGGAAAACTGGCAGTCTCTGCCACAATCTATGGACTATTCACTGGACTTTGAACTCTGTTCTGGAGGCGATGTGGTACTAGCAAATGACCTCTAAGTGGGCAGGTTTCATGCCCAAACTTGGTTTTAGATTACTCCGGAAGCTGGCTCAGAGGATAAAGGGGGCAGAAATAGGAGAAAGGGGACCTATTTAACTGATGTGTCTGTCACTTGTTGTTTTTTTTTTTTTGTGAGGAGAATCAGCCCTGTGCTAACATCTGCCAATCCTCCTCTTTTTTTACTGAGGAAGACTGGCCCTGCGCTAACATTTGTACCCATCTTCCTCCACTTTATATGGGACGCCGCCACAGCATGGCTTGCCAAGCGGTGCATTGGTGCGCGCCCAGGATCCGAACCTGTGAACCCCGGGCTGCCGCAGCGGAGTGCGTGCACTTAACCGCCTGCGCCACCGGGCTGGCCCCCTGTTACTTGGTTTTGTGTCTCTGGAGTCCTTGCTGCAGGCAGGAGTCAGGAGGTTGGGTTCTCAGATGGAGGACTTGCAGGCACCCATGAGTGTGCTGGGGCTGGAATGGGAGCCGTCAGCTGTCGCAGTCATTCATTCATTCATTCATTCATGCATCAAGCACCCTGTCTGGGCCCAGGGCTCTGGTGATGGTCCCAACAGCTATGATGAACGCTGGGGGCCAAGTTCAGTTCCCGGTGAGTTCTCTGGGGGTACTCAGTCAGTGCACTGACGCTGGCCTCTTTTGTTTGTTTCTCTTGGCCTTAGGACCCCCGGAGCAAACACAAGTTCAAGATCCACACATACTCCAGCCCCACGTTTTGTGACCACTGTGGGTCACTGCTGTACGGACTCATCCACCAGGGGATGAAATGTGACAGTAAGTACACTTGCTCTCTGACAGCCTCTGCCGACTGGGCTGCTGCCTGGTGGTTTGGGGTCCAAGTCTGCAACACATTCTCCCAAGGCCTGGGGGCGCTGGTGTACCAGTTGTCTGTTGCTGAGTAACGATCCTCTCATCCCAAAATGTAGTGGCTTAAACCAATAACCATTTATTTAGCTCAAGATTCTGCAAGGCAGTCCTTTGGCTCTGAGCTGGACTTACTCAAGCATGTATGGTGGGTTAGCGGGTTGGCTGGGGGCTGGGTCTGGCCTTGGACGGCCTCACCCACGTCCGGAAGGACGGCTGGCATCTGAGTGATGGGAATGGCAGGGCCACGTGTCTTTCATCCTGAGCAGGTTAGCCTGGGCTTGCTCACACAGAGGTTGCAGGGTCCCAAGTACTTCAAGAGGGCAAGTCCCATTGATCAAAGCAGGTCACACAGCAAGGTCCCCAGTCAGTGTGGGAGGGGACAGTCCCTGGGTGTGGATACGGGGAGGCATGGACAAATCGGGGCCACTCCTGCAGCCATGCACACAGCTGTTTCCAACACTGATGTGCGGGCCTCATGCATTCTTTGCATAGAGAAGATCTACCTCCCTGTAGCACCCACAGGTTTATGCTAGAGGAGGAAAGAGAGTGTGATTCTGTAGCCAGGCTGGGGTGGGAGGAAGGCAGGTGGAGGCAGGACTCCTCTTTATCTAGTGAAGGACTGAATGGCCTGTGGGTCAGGGAAGCGAGCAGGCTTCGAGAGCTGCAGCTGCAAAGGGACGGGGGTCAGTGTGCTGGTGGCTCCCAGAGGCTTGTTGGCCTGCAGCAGGCTGACCAGTCACGAGGCCCGACTGTCCCTGTCACAGGCGTCCTGAGCCCAGAGGACAGAGGGAGAAACTCACAGGGGGCAGAGAGAGACAGAGAGGAGTGTGAGTGTGGATGGGGTGGAAGAGAGTGAGAGAGAGACACACTCAAGCACAGACAGAGACAGATGCAGGGGGATGGACGACACACACGTACATAGGTGTCAGGAGTAGTGGGGGTGAGATCTATAAAGGGGCTCAGCTAGAGAGAGAGACTGAGGCAAGAGGAGGGACAGATGGACAGACCAACAGACAGAATGATTGGAAGTGACACAGAGAGAGATGCACTCACACAGGCTTACGCAGAGATACAGAGATGGAGAGAGACCAGAGACAGAGAGAAGCGCACACATGGAGAGACACAGAGAGAGATGGGGAGAGACAGAGTCATGACGCAGGCGCGGAGAGTGAAACAGATGCAGCCGAGGCAGCGAGCACACACTGAAACAAAGAGCAGAGACAAGGAAAGAGACGTAGACCGATGTAGGTGCCGAGAGATAGACAGACAGACAGACACAGAAACAGGGCAAGAGCCACAGAGACACATGTGGTGGGTGGGGTCCCCCAGGTAGACACATGACACAGGCAGGGAGAGGGAGTGACGATGATGCCTTCTGCCTATAGGACATGGATTCCTCTTAGCACACGGGGGCCTGGAATGTGGTAATGATGGCCCTGCCCCAGGAACAGGGGTGGGTGGGAGGGAGCTTGGGCTGACGCGGGGGCCCTGAAATTGGATATTCAGCTCCCAGGGGGCTCTCCCTTCCTCTCCCGCCATCCTTTTCGCTCCACAACTCATTTTCCGTTTTATAATTTGCCTGCTGCCTCCTAGAGCTTGGGGGTACTGAGAAGGGGCCCCCTCAGCATTCCCTGCCCATGGTTCAGCCTCTCCCCCTGATTTCTCGAACTGGAAAGAGGTTCCCCCGAGAGAACACTGGATTCCTGGCGCACCTTCTTGGAGCAGCCATTGTTCTAGAAGACTTCGGGGAAATCAACCATCCACTGGGACAAACACAGATATACTAGGAGGAGTGTGCGAAGGGAGCATATATTTATCATAGAACACATGAGACGTCAATCGATCAGATTCAGTTTGCAGACGTATTTCATTTGTCTTACCCTGGTCTAAAGTTTTTTCTTGTAAATAGTTGTGGTGGATACTATGGGGCTCCTCAGATCCTTTTCACGACCCTGCCCTGCTTGCCAGCCACTGTGGGTTCATAGCTGTACCCCTCGTTGGGAATTGCCCTTGGGATCTCCCCCAAGGTGATGCCCCTCCCAGGGGTGGTTCATGGCCAAAGACTGGCTGATGCAGGTCTGCAAAGGCCTGGCCCTCTTGTCTCAATTTGGGACAACTCTGAAAGGTCATCAGAGCTCCCGCCTCCCCTTACCTTCAGCCTGGGTGGCTCTGTGTGGCCAGCTCCTTCCTCCCCAGAGCACTTACCATAAACCTGCCTGAAACTCTTGTTTCAGACTCTTTTTCCAGGGAACCCAGCCTATTAGCTGTTAATGTTTAAAACTCGGGAGAGGTCACATACGAATAGGGATTCCTGTGTATCTTGAAAAATGGGCAGCCTTGGGAACTTTGGGTGCGCAGGTGGCACGGCTGTGCCTGTGTGGGGGCTGCTGTGTTCTCGAGTTGGCCACGTCCCACCACTCCCACATCTTTCCTCACTTGTGTTACCTGCGGCCCGTGGCATTGAAGTTGGTGATCTGGCTTCAGAGCCACTGCGGATGTGCGGAGTGCACCCTTAGCCTTCCGGGAGGGAGGACGGGTTCCACCTCCTCTGTTCATCAGGGCCTGGGGGAAGAGTTGGAGAAGCCCCTCTGATGAGACTCGGGCAGGGCAGGCTGGTCACGGCCAGCCTTGGAGGGAAGGAGGGGAGCAGGAGGGACCCAGCCAGTCCCGGGTGGGGGCAGATGCCCTGGGCACCAGCCTGGGCCCGCCTGAGCCGCGCCCTCTCTGCCCTCGCAGCCTGCATGATGAACGTCCACAAGCGCTGCGTGATGAACGTCCCCAGCCTCTGCGGCACGGACCACACGGAGCGCCGCGGGCGCATCTACATCCAGGCCCACATCGAGAGGGAAGTCCTCATCGTTGTCGGTAGGTGGCGCTGGGGCTCCCGCTCTGGCTCCAGCTGGGTCCAGACCTTGCTCTACCCCTGTGTTAGGGGCGGGGAGGCTGGAGGAGGGATGGGCGGCCGCAGGGGTGAGGAGGGAGGCGGCGTGACACTGCCCGCTGCGCCCCTATTACAGGCCTTCCCCGCTGCGGGCATCCTTAGAAAGTGTCCGCCCGCAGAGCTCCGCTGTGAGCACCTCCGGCTCCCTGGAGCTCAGAGACGAGGCGCCTGGACCTCTGACTTCCTCACGTTTCCCCAGTCCCCTTCTCTCCGCGTCCCTTTACCACTCTTTCGCTCCCTGTCTTTGGAGTGTGCAGTTCTATTTACTTTATTAAGATAGCAGAGAAGGGATGCTTGGTCCTTTCCCAAACTTTTCCAGTGGGAAAAAGAGTCTTGATTATAAACACCAAATTTGGGAGAGTGTTACATCTTGGGGAGCAGGAGGGATGTGGTGTGCATCCCTGGGGGCTTTCCTCGTGTTTGAAATGTTTCTTTCTTAAACCTGACGGTGGCTGTGCTGATCCCTGTGATATTATTCTCTATACTTTTTGCACTTCTGAAATATTTCATAATAATAAGAAAGAGGGATAATACAGCCTGCTGGAGAGGAGCAGTGGGCCTAGGGGGCTAGAAAGGAGCGTGGTGGTGTCTGTGGCTCATGCATCAGAGCATTCAAGAAACACCTGGCTCTGACATACAAAACTCAAGCACAAGGGCAGTCTGGCTGCGCTGGGCTGATGAATACTCAGCCATAAAGCTATGTAAAACCAACACAGCTGGACCCGAATGGACTAAAACTTTGAAGGAATTCTCTCCCAAAGCCTTGTGAATAAACCGCTTGGACTTTATAACCAATTAATATAAGCAAGGTTTTATGATTTGGTAACTTAGAAAATTGATCATAGAAGGGATTGATTTTGCAGAACCTGGTCTGTGTCTGAGGCCCTGGAATGGTTCTGCAGCTCTCATGGGCTGAGCCCTTTACTGGGAGGGGCCTCATCTACGCCATATAAAGGTTGAAAAATATCCCGATAAAATATAATCTCTGTTTTAAACTAGGGTTCATGACACCTAGTGAGCTCTTAGGAAATGTGCATTCCATTGAATTGCTTTTTCCTCTAAAAGGAAAGCAAGCGGCTGACTTGTTCCCAGCGGAATGCTTGAGGGACCCTGGGGAGAAGCCTGCAGTCACAGGTTCAAGAGAAGCTGGGTTTTCCCACTGACTGAGTCCTGGGACTGGAGGGGCAAAAATGAGACCCTGCTGCCCTCTACTGTCACTCTCTAGAAACTACACTGACTTGGATAATGTTACTGGGGGAAGCCAACATTTATAGAACCCATTGGATGCAGAGTGCTCAAAACCTTACTAAGCATAATGCCCTCCAGGTGGGTCCATTGTTCCTACCATAAAAAAAAAAAAGAGAATTATGTGACGTGATAGAGGTGTTAGCTAACACTACTGTGGTAATCATATTGCAATATACAAGTGTATCAAATCAACACGTTGTACACCTTCAAGTTACACAAAGTTAGGTGTCAATTATATCTCCATAAAAAAACCCCTTATGTATTATCTCCTTCAATCCTCACAACAACTTTGTGAAATATTTATTATGCTTGTTTTATGAAGATACTAAGGCTCAGAGAAGTTATGCTTGTAAGAACTCACATCATTAGTAATAATAACAAAATAATAGCTAACATTTGAGTTTTTTAATGTATCGGTCACTGTGTAAAGCACTTATAGGCAGTATCGTGTTTAAGTTTTTTCATCAACTCGAATGAGTTAAGTAGGATTATCATCTACCCATCAGGAAACAGGCTTAGAGAGTCACACACTTCATCACCTAGGTCTGATCGACTATTGAGTATGATATACCAGGTTACTTTTTAGTTAAGTTCCCTGCACTCACCCCTCCCCCGCCCCCCGCCCCACCTTATTTATTCCCTTTGTGGTTTAGCAAAGTTGCTTCTTATGTGCAGTTCTTGAGGAGTCTTTGTTCCATGTGGTACAATTCAACATCTCTTCAAATTCAAGGTCAAAGTCTTCCCCCTAATCATAGATATACTCTGGCATATGTAGGGGAAGAAGAACTATTTCTCTACCCTCTGGGTCCTTCTGTCTGGCCTAAGAATTAAATTGACATGAGACAGAATAACAGGAGAAAATCAAAGTTTAACAACATGTGTATGTGGGAGAAACCCAGGAAAACTGAGTAACTCGCCAAAATTGCCAAAGTCACCACCTTAAATACCGTCTTCTGCTAAAGACAAAGGTGGATGTTGGGGGCAGTGGTTTAGGACTTCAAAGGGGAGGAAGGGAATTTACATGGAGATGGAAATGCAAATGTTTGATAAACAAATGTTTGCTGGGCCCTCTATAGACAGTGTGACACGAGAGACAGAACTTTGATAAAAAATGGGCTTCTCAAGGATCCTCCCAGTCTACCAATACCCAGAGTTATCTAAGATTATGCCCTGTCCTAGGGACAGGTCAAAGTTTCTTTCAGATTCTTTTGTGCTTAAAAATAATCAAGTGAAAGAAACACATTTTGGGACGGCACGTTCTGATCCGCCACACATATCTTGATCACAAGCTGATGATTTTCAGGCAGTCCCAGGACATGCCTATGAATCGGGGGTGTATTTGTTTCTTAAAGCTGCTGTAACGAAGTACCACAAACTCGATGGCTTAAAACAACAAATATTTATTCTGTCACAGTTCTGGAGGCTAGAAGTCTGGAATCAAAGTGTCAGCAGGGTTGGTTCCCTCGGGAGGGCTCTATGGGAGAGTCTTTTCCATGCCTCTCTCTTAGTTTCTGGTAGTTGCCATCAATCTTCAGTGTCCCTTGGCTTGTAGATGCATCACTGCAACCTCTGCCTCCATCATCACGTGGCATTCTTCCCCGTGTGTCTCTCTATCCAAATTTCCTCTTCTTATAAGGACACCAGTCATTGGATTAGGGCCACCCTGATCTAGTAGGACCTCATCTTAACTTGATTACATATGCAAAGACTTTATTTCCAAACAAGGTCACATTCACAGGTACTGGGGTTAGGACTTGAACATATCTTTTTGGGGGACACAATTCAACCATGACAAGGGGGGAGGGAGGAAAGTTGGGGCTCCCTTAAAGTTCAAGGCAGAATATCTGCCTGCTGTGGGTTCTGATAGCACTAATTAAATAGCTGGCAGCATTTTAATAACACTGTGGTTTTCCAAGTGCTTTGATATTGGGCCATCCAGTGGAGGTAGTGTTGTTGCCACCAGACCGAAGGGGAAACTAAGACTCAATGAGGCTGAACAACTTGCCTGGTGTCGCATGCAGAGCAGGGATGGGCACCTGGGCCTCCTGACTGCAGGCCCCTGTGCCCTGCTGTTGCCCCTTCACCGTGCTGGGCACAGTCAGTACTTGGCATGGACTTGTTGATTGATTGATGGTAGAATAACATGCTTTGACTGAGGTTCTCTAAAAACAGAGCCAAGATGGAGATTTTTGTTCAAGTGATTTATTGGGGCTGCTCACGGGAGACGAGGAGAGAGGACAGAGCAGAGAAAAGCTAAGAGAGAGTATGGTCTCTGTTGAAGACTAGCTCTAGCCTGATCCCATGGAGTTCTGGACCATGCATCTCAGCAGAGTCAGTCCCTCCTTGAGGCAAGTGAGCTGTTCTATCAGGGTCAGTCAGTGCTGTGGACTGAATTGTGTCCCCCCACCAAATTTGTTTGTTGAAGCCCTAACCACTGATGAAATGGTATTTGGAGATGGAGCCTTTGGAGGTAATTAGGGTTAGATGAAGTCATAATGGTGGGGCTCTCATGATGGGATTAGTGGCTTTAGAAGAAGGAGAAGAGAAAGAGATTTCTCTCTCTGCCATGTGAGGGCACAGCAGAAGGCGGCTGTCTGTAAAGCCAGGAAGAGGGCTCTCCCCAGGAACTGAGTTGGCCCACACCTTGATATTGGACTTCCCAGCCTCTAAAACTGTGAGAAATAAATGTCTGTGGGTTAAGCCACCCAGTCTGTGGTATTTTGTTATAGCAGCCAGAGCTAACTAAGACAGTCTTTGCTGCAGGCCTGTGGGGTTGGAGGTGGGAGGGTGGTGTAACCTCCCAGGCTAGGTGCCTTCTGTGTGGCTGAGGGCAATTCTCTGGACATGGGGGCAACTGTGAGTCCTTACCAGCCAACCCTCACAGCAGCCGGGGGATGGCAGCATTGGCCGGAGTGGGGGGAGTTGGGCAGAGCCCAGGACACCTGGGTGTCCCTCTGATCTCCCAAGCATCCTTACAGTTTCACAGTTGAGACTCCAGGCCCCTCCTCCTTGATCTCAGCCAGACAGATCAGAGAGGAGAGAGCTAAAGATTGAGTAGGGCCCTTCCCTGCAGTGCCAGGCCGGAAGTGGTGTGTGGAGTTTGTTGAATCGTCTCACTTCATCCAGACCCTAGAGCACATTCAATGTTAGGACTTTCCACCCACCAGCCCAGGATGCTCTGCCCGTTGCTCTCAAGGTCATGTGCTCTTTGGAAATCCCAGCATCTCCAGAGGCCACCAGGCTACAGGTGCTTCTGAAAGATCAGAAGGTTTCCACATCTCCCTTGACTACTGAAATCCAAGCTTTATATCTGCTATCAAGGTTCTTACAGGTCAAGATCAAAACGGAAATCTGATCAGCCTCCTCCTTTAAAAAATCCATCAATGGTTCTCACTGCCCTTAAGTCAGACTAATCTTACACAATGATTTCATTCTCTATTCTCTGTCTTCTCCTCTTTTCTTTGAAGCCTTCGTCCTCTCTAGGCAGCCCCCTGCCCTAGGACATCTGCGTATTCTGCTCTCACAGTCTGGAATGTTTGTCTTCACCTTCTTGGCTTCTTCCAGCAGTTCACTGTTCCTCTTCCTCTAGGTTTCAGCTCATGTTTCCAGCAAGGAAGCTTCCCCTGACCTGTCCTTATAGTAGATGCTCAGGGTATCCTGAACTTTTACCTTGTGT